GGGTAGGAGGGTAGGAGGATAGGCTCGTAGGTAATATGGGGGACCCGATTTATATGATGATATAATCTCGATAATCTCCGATTTCCTAAAATACAATATACAATATACAATACCTTCCTAGCGACCTTCCTAGCTATCTACCTAGTACTTTCACACATACATATTAACACCTACCTAGTACTTCGTACATACAAAATCCAGATGAGCGATCCAATTATTTATTCAGCCTCGTACTTGCCGGTCCAATGACCAATGGAATTCCCTAATGTTCACCTCGGTAGTACAAGATAAAATTGACAAGGTTTTGGGGTGGCTCGTGTCGTCTTCACTCATTCATTCATTCATTCCCTACCTAGTACCTACCCATTTCTGGATTCCAGTCTAAACATTTTTATTCCTCTGACCTTTCTCGTACTCGACCTCCCTACCAATACGACGCTTTAAATAGTAACTCATATTTGGTATTGCTAAGAGGCTTCGCACCGCATCTTTCACTCTCGATAGTTACATTTCTCTTCGCTTTCTTGCATTTTGGTGTTTTGTTCAGAGATCTGAAAGAATTGGGCATGATGGATGTGATCCGTCCACGAAGACCACATCACAAGAGTCGAACCGGATGTCTTCAATGCAAATCAAGAAAGGTCAAGGTACGTATGCTTTTCTTGCTTTCGTTTCGAGCGAATTCATTTCCATATATTGCAGGTCTGCATATATCATTGCTGCACCAATAGAACATCCTAGTCTCTGTCATGAAAAGCTCTCTGGTAGACACAATCTTCTCAATGGGGTTCTCGGCGTTGCACCCACATTGCTCATTACATGTTTTTTCTCCAATTTTCCCCAAATTAATTTTTTTTTTTAAGGATTCAGCTGACCGACATATTAAAAAGTGTGATGAGAAAAAACCATCATGTCAGAAATGTCAAAGTTATGGCTCAGGTTCAGAATGCTCTTATTTGCGTACACATCCCATGAAGAGTCTTCATAGTCACGAGATTCAGTGTAGTACGATGATGCGACAAGGCTCAAAGTCAAAATCACCAGCGTCTGATCTCTCACCTTCAAGAGTTGAATTGAGTCCTAGATCGGTTGTTTCGCCTGCTCCATCTCTGCCCGCTTCAAATTATTCCTTTTCTATCCTTGATATGGAACTACTTCATTATTACACCATGTATGGCGTTTCAGATTTCGTCGACTTTGCTACTGGCCAAGAACTCTATAGAACAACTGTTGTCGAACTAGCTTTTCAGTTTCCATTTCTCATGCATGAAATTCTTGCTTTGGCCGCCTTGCAATTATCATATGCTCGGCCCCTCAAAGCTGCTTACTATCACGGAGCATCAACTACTCACCTGACTGCCGCTCTCCAACTATTTCAATCTGCGATTTCGGATCTCACGGCCGAAAACTTTCAAGCATGTTTCGCCTTCACGACCATCATGTTTACATTTGCCTGGACATCACAAGATTCCAATCTGCCCAATCGTCTGTTCTTTGGACCCGATTGTGCCGAAAATGAAAGTACATTCCCTCACTCGCAATGGGTGAAGCTTTACCGAGGTTCCAATTTCATACTCAAGAGTACTTGGGAGAATCTGTCTCGCGGTCCGTTCAAAGTGCTATTCGACCCTTGGATTGATTTTCAACGAGATTATATCCCACCCCTCGACCCAGTCGACGATTCCCATGTCTCTTCGCTAGCAAGCGCGTGGTCTAGTACTTCTGCATGCGACCTTTCGCTCGAAGAGCGACAACATTTGGATCATGGACTCGATATGTTGAAACGAGTTTTTGGACTCCTGAGAGCACCTAATGCACCTTCACCCCTGAGTGTGGTTATGAGTTGGTTTTCTTCCATCACCGATGAGATGGAGGCGATGCTGTCTAGGAGAGTGAAAGAAGCGTTATTAATCGTGGCATGTTATTGTGTGTGTATACATCGTGTATCACATGTATCGTGGATGAGTGGGAAGGGGAAGAATTTGTTGCAGACTACTTTGGATGAGTTGGGGCCTGGATGGGAGCAATGGACGGCGTGGCCTATAGAAGTTGTTTTGGGGAGGGAATGGAGGGGTGGAAAGACGATGAGTGTGGATTTTATCAGTGGCGCATCATGAGGAGTTTTTGGAATTACGTGCATGCATTTGAGAATTGGCGTTGGAGATACCAGTTGGAAGGCTTTTGTTGCATTAATCAGGCGTACTTTGGTAAATCAGCGGGCATGCATGGGTGTGACTAGTTAAGTGTTGATTGGATAGTTTGTGTTTATATCGAATAATACCCCCCATACTTGCTTAAGAATCCGTGGTGTACTCCTCAAACTTTCCTTATTAACGCCGCAGAATAAATATGGAGAATTCCAATGCCGATAAACCCAACAACTCTCGCTACAATCACTGCAACATGATCGTGAAATAACGAAGCTGTGATAGCAACCTTCGCTCTACTTACTTCGAAACCTTCAAATAATATTCATGTGTCCTCCTCCCCTTCCTTATTGACCAACCTCAAGTAGCAGCTTCCTTAACCTCACCCACCTTTTGTGGCGGCTCATCAATAAAACTCGGCACCTCATCTACCATAAAACTCGGTGTCCCCTCCGCCATGCCCCCCAAACCCTCCAGCTCCGCCTCCTCCCCCAGCGCCTCCAACTCCGCATCCAGCTCCGCCTCATCCACCTCCTCAGGTAAATCATAACTCCTACTAATACTCTCCTGAATCTCATTTCCCACCTCCATCAAATCCGCCATCTCATCCTGCATCCTCTCAATCTTATCGATATCAATCTTGCCATATTGTTTTTTCAGGGCCGCATTCGTCGACTTGAGTGTCGACACGGTCGTCATGACGTTTTGCAGATTATCTTGCATCATGGCTGCGCTTTCCATGTTGTAGGATTGCTGCTGAAGTTGGTCGCGCTGGCCTTCGTACATTTTGCGGCGTTGCAAAACTTTGAGTGCTTTCTGTTTGATGGCGGTTTTGCCCGGGCCGTCGCGCATCTTGGAGAGCTTGGTTTGGTACGAGGTGAGTTCGGCGTTTATGGAGGCGAGTTTGACGTCGAGGGAGGAGATGCGTTCGTCGACCTAGTAGAGGGGAGGTTAGTCGGGGTATGGCATGGAGAATGAGGATGAGGGGAGAGGGAAAGGTCAATGTACATTTGAAATCGCAGAACTGAGGGTTGGTTTGGGGGTTGAAGACTTTGCGCCGAATAATCTGTTCATCTTGATGGTATGGTGAGAATGTGTTGAAGTTTTTCAAATTTGTGTTTTGCAATGAATATTGTGCAGGAATTAGATGTCTCAATTATGAATTATGATTGATTAGGTAGGAAGGTAGTCTTGAAGGTCCAGGCTGCTGTAGTGTGATGATTGATTTGCTTGTTCGGAAACATGCTGGTTATTCGTCATTGGTATCAAATCTGAGCCGGGGTTTGTTCTCGGTTAATTGGCCATTTATCTTTATCGGGTCATCACGTGGCATTTAGCTGGGATTTAATCTCATCATTCATATCCTTTCCATCTTTTCATCATTTCCCTATCAGACATATGCAAGACACGTTGTCAGTTGGTTACTTGGGGTGAATCAAGTCGAAGGAAGGTGTAGTACATAGCCATGTATAGGTATGAAGTGGTATATGGATTGCGAGATAATGAATCGCTATATTTATCTATACACAAACTCCATACTCCATACATACCCAGTATTCACCATAGATCGATCACACACACATATGAGTGAGGGGCTTGAATCAACAACCTACCGGTACCTACTCCCTACTCCCTACTCCCTACCCAGGTCGCTATTGGTTTTCCCTATCTCATGATTCTCATCTCTTGTAAAATGAGTCGGACTTCTTGGTGATCATAGCAGAAAGGTCCCTGATACCACCTAATTTCAAAAGGCTCGAGCAAGGCAAGGCAGAAAAAGTAATCACATCAACTTGTACCCACTCAACTAACTTCCCTATCTTCCCAAACTTCAACGAACTTTTACGCCCAGAAGTGGAAAATTGATCAAGTAAGAAAAAAGACAAGACCACAAAGAGACCCAAACCACTTTGAACCCCACCATCGACCTGCCTTGCCTCCTTGCCCTCTAGGACAGACCAAGATTTTCTGATTTTTTAACAATAAGAGAGAGAGAGCGAGAGTACCTACTTGATCAACAAATTCCTATTTGTGCTTCCATTCAAAAAAATACCTTTCTTGTTTCTTGTTCTTGAGATACCCTTTTTATTTAGAAAATTGTCAGTCTATTGGTTGGTTGAGTTTATCCGTCAAGATATCTCTTGAATCCATCCTCTAGTCAAGATTGGCGATATCCATCCAGCCCAAAACCTCTTGACAATTTACCTCGCAATACATAAACAGATCCTTTCCACAACAGCAACAATTGATCCTACTCTTTTGGCCTCTTGCTTAGTCAAATGGGAGGAGGAGCTTAGTTGAGGAGAAGATCACTTCACAATTCACATTGTACAAATAAAGTACAATTGATATTGAAATACAGAATACAGAAAAATATATGCCGTAAGTTCTCTTTTTACCATTATTTACATTATTCACAGCAACTACAATGAATGGCTTGCGGAAGCGCAGGGCTGAGAGAGTCGCGCGCCCAAATTAAGGCACCATTCACCGACTAGCCACACAATCCTCTCCTCTATTCTTCAATTTGCGGATGGTACATGATTATCCACTTCTAAAGCATTATCACTGACCTCACATCTTTATTTATAGTCATATTTACGATCATTGAATCTTTACGAAACACGATACGATACGATACGACATTACAGATAAAAAGTGCGTATCTGCAGGCGGGAACCATTTCCATACAACCACCTTTTTTTCCCTTGTGGGGAGCAGTACATCATACCTGCGGCTCTTCAGCGATTGATTCGCATGATTAATCTCAAGATACGAACATAAAAACAATACCCAGATCTTGTTCTACCACCATTCCCTTGGTGGCAGACGAGCCCTGTTACATAATTCATCATGTTCTGGCGATTCGGCGGATATGCCAACATTTCTACTATCGATACTCTGCTCGACAAAGAAGATGTTACCCTAGAGCAATTGTTGGATGAGAGCGATCTCATACAAGAACTAAAACAACACAACTCAAAGTTGATCGAATACTTACGGGAAGATAAAATTCTAGCAAGGCTCCTGGAATATGTTGTGGCTCCTAAATCGGGGACTATCGCATCAGAAGACGCTGGGGCAGAATCGACGGAAAAGTCAGGCTCACCAAACTCAAAGGGCAAAACTCGATCATTCTCACTTTCTCGCCAGTCCTTTGAAGATGCCGACGAAGAAAAAGAAAAGAAACGGACCCGCTATGCTTACGTCGCAGCCGAAGTCCTATCCTCAGACAACTGGTCAATCTGTGAGGCTTTGATGGAGAATCAGCCTCTGTTGCGCAAGTTTTGGGAGTTCTTGAAACTTCCTGCGCCTTTGGATCCTTTACAAGCCAGTTATTTCACAAAAGTCAATGAGGCTCTTTTAGATAAAAAGACTGAGGAAATGCTTGATTTGCTCAAGTCAATAGACGGCACAGTTAAGAGCATGCTTCAGCATGTAGATTCTCCTATGATTATGGATCTTCTTTTGAAAATAATTAGTTTGGAGAAAGCGGAGGGAGGTGCAGGAATTGTTGATGTATGTTCCCAATCTCTCCAATTTTACTTATATCTGCTAATTCTTGAACTAGTGGCTGCATTCGCAAGACTTGATGCCAATTCTTCTATCTTTTCTATCCTCCGAACACAGCTGGGCCACACAAACTTCGGCCGGTGACTTTCTCAAGGCGATCATCACTATTTCAGCAAATGCATCACAAAACGAGCAGTCATGCATAGGGCCAAATGAGCTCACTCGCCAACTTGTCTCTCAGCAATGCATTGAAAAGTTGATCTCCGACATGCTTAAGGGTGGAAATCCGTTGACTGTTGGAGTTGGCATCGTTATTGAAGTTATTCGAAAGAACAACTCCGATTATGATCCAGAGGTTGGAGCTGAGGCAAATGCAGTACCATCCAGCCGCGATCCTATATATCTCGGAACCCTCTTACGCATGTTTGCCAAACATGTCCCCGACTTTATGGAACTCATCCTCAGTCCCAATCATACTGTTGGAGGAGGCGATGGCCCTGTAACAATTCAAAGAAAAGAGCTGAGTGCTGCTTTTGGTGGAAAAATTGAGCCTCTCGGATTTGACAGATTTAAGACTTGCGAGCTCATGGCTGAACTTTTGCACTGCAGCAACATGGGCTTGCTGAATGAAGTCGGCAGTGAAGAATTTGTCAAGGCGCGCGATGTGGAGAGAGAACGATTGAAGGCCGAGGGTAAATTGAACCCATCGCCAAATGCCCTAATGTCCGAAGATGACCTTACGATGAAATCCTCAACACAAACACGACTAGGTTCCCCAGATGGTTCTAGGAAACTGGAGGTTCAAAATGCCTCCGATGATGATGGATTTGAAGAAGTTACGCATGCAACAGAACTTGGCGATGACGCCAAGGACGATTTTGATGAGAAACATGAACACGAAGAATCTTTACTTACTTCCACCCAGCCGTCTGTTTCTTTCCTTGACAAGGATGACGAGGAATTCGTTGATGAACCTTTAAGCTCGCCAAGACTACAACCGCTGTCCGATGAGCATACGTTACAAGAACCAGAGATGACTGTCCTTCCTCTTTCTCCAACCAAGGAACTTTCTCAACAAGTTGGCTCTTTAGGCTTTACTGACGAGGATACAACTATGACCTCCCCTCCTCCCTCCATCGACGCTACTATTCTCGATGATACTGAAGACTCTTCTGATGGTTCCCACAAACATACCCCCGCTTCCTCAGAGGGCTCCCCTGAAAGCCAGAGCGTAGCTTTGGAACCACCTACTGAATCTTCAGTGCCCACAGAAGAAGTTCCTCATGCTGCAGAGGTCATTCCACTTCCAGAAGATACCCCCGCACCTTTGTTCTCCAAGAAAGCAGGATCAACAGAAGCGACTAACGATACATCAGCCGCCGTTCCTGGGGATGGTAACATGAGTCTTGACAGCATCGATACTACTATGCGCGATGCTGGCGAAGGTAACAATTCCGTACTGATGGGTAACACGGGGGAGCCTTCTCAAGACCAAACTGTAGAGACTGCAGGTGCTCCTGTAGTTGGAGATTATCTCAAAATGCAATTTGTTGAACATAAAGTTGTACCAACTATCTTAGTAAGTTTTCACCACACATCATATTTGAGTACCTGAATTAATTAGTGTAGGATTTCTTCTTTCGATTTCCTTGGAACAACTTCTTACATAATGTCGTATATGACGTTGTACAACAAGTATTTAATGGACCCATGGATCGTGGATACAATCGATCACTTGCAATCGACCTCTTCGAGACTGGAGACATCACAATGAGAATCGTTGATGGGCAAAAGAAGAGTGACGAGGCACAAGAAAAGAATAAGATGCGACTTGGTTACATGGGCCATCTTACACTCATCGCCGAAGAGGTTGTTAAATTTACAGAGCGACATCCTCCCGAGCTCCTATCGGACTCTGTGTTGGAGAGGGTCATGAACGGTAATTGGATCCCATATGTGGAGGTCACTCTGGCAGAAACTCGGGAACGGGATAATGCAATTCTCGGGGGAGTCAGACCAGATATGGCAGTTGGCCCACGACAAGCAGTCATGAATGCGGTAAACGCAGCCAATAATTTTGGAAACGCATCGTCTGCTCTCGCCGACGCAGGCCTTAATGGGTCGACAGGTCTCGACAGCATTGAACTTGCTAACAACAATGGGAATGGCAACAACTTCATCACTGGGGGTACATTACTGAGCGGCTTTGGAAGTTCTAGTGATGAAGAAGATGATGAAATGGAAGAAGATAATGACGAGGAAGGAAAGAATAGTGGTGGTACATCGGCAGAAGTGGGTCATTCTGTTCCTCCATCAGCCCCCAATCTTGATAAATTTGACGACCTGGACGTTGATTATGAATATTTGGAGCAACTCGATCGTGAATCACCTCTGTTTCCTCAAGAGAAGGACGAGGATTTTGATCAGGGTAGTTCTTAATCAGTAAAAAACACATGTTGTCTTCCTTTCTTCCTGTACAGTACGACTTTTCTGGCTCGCTCTTTATTCCCAAACAACATTACAAGTGGCGTTTTTAGATCTTTGGGGCTTGTTGTTTCTGGCTTCAGAAATTTAGAAGACATTAATGTTGGTATGAAATGAGGAGTATTGTTGGAGTTTTCTCTTTCCTTAAATCAAGAGAAAGAGATTCAATTTTTTGAGATATAATCCTTTTACCTCCTTTTCTGATATGGTTGGTGGTGGTGACAGCTGTGATGTCGATCTGGTGTTGTAATCAGTGATTAGTGTCCGCAAATCTTTTTTTAACGATGCTCCCTAGTGGGTGGGCCAACTATCTACTCTCATCTGGACCCGTCATTTATTTGCTATTTACCCAATTGCTTTTATCCGCCGCTTAGTTTTCCCCCTTTGGAATATGCATTAATTCTCAAATGAACATATCGTACCAAAATATATGCTAATGTGATTACATCTAGTTCTCTCGCTATATCACCACACCCTCAACTACAACATCTACCTCGGATCTCTCACCTCCTTCAGCACCACCGCCACCTCCACCCCCCCTCAATATCCCACCAAGCCGCGCTAGAAGACAATTGGCTGCGAGATTGGCGCTGCATAGCAAGCAGAAATTGGCGAATGGGGAGAAAGTTGAAGGCGAGGAGAAGGAATCAAAGGGAGTCAACCCCTTTCAGGTAGAGGGCGAAGATGATGAGGACGAGGAGGGAAGCAGTGATGACGACGAAGGTGGGTTTGGTAGAAGTGGGTTTGAGGATAGTTTTGACAATGATGATGGGGTGGGGGTTAGTATCACAAGGGAAGCGAAGAGGAGAACGAGTTTGGAGGATGAGGATGAGTATGATGGTAGGGCTGGTGGGATTGGAGGAGTCGGGGCTGACGATGATGAGGTTGTGCATGTGGGAATGGTAGAGGAGGCGGGTGAAGGTGAAATTGAGAGTGGAAGTGGAAGCGGGGGTGCGAGTAAAGGTCTAAAGGAAGACACGAGGTTAAAAGCCGAGGAAGTGGATGATGGAGAGTTAGTGCATGTTCAGCATGCGGAGATGCAGGAAGAAAGTAAGAAAGAGTAGACTCCGTCGAATTGGATTGATTAAATGGACGGATGCGGTGCATGGATGGGCGGATATCTGATGAAGGCATGAGTGGATGAAATATGTGTACGATATTATGCGAGACTACGATCAGTAAGGGTTGCGGAGGTGGCATTATCCAGCAAGTTTCTCCTTTGCTATAATTGATTTGGGTGAGATGATGAGATCAGATGATATGGACTGAAAGGGCTTAGGATAGGGACATTTGATAAATGGGAAATGAAGGACGGAGGATGAGAGAAGTGTATAGATAGTTATTTGTATGCATGATTGATCACGTTTTGCAAAATTGAGTGCGAGGTTTGGAAGAGAAATGTTGATAAGTTAATGGCAGCATGATGAGGTAGTCCTACTAATAACACCGCTAATTATCGAGTCTCTTGGAACTCGGGTTTCTTATCTTATCGCCGTCAGACTAAAATCTACAGGGTAAGGTTAACGTGATTTATCATCCAGTGGACTATATCATCGAGTGGGCCATCATTTTTACATACAAAATTCGTTTATATATAACCATACACTTTCTTTATTTATTGATAGAATTTTTTAAAAATTAAAACTATGAAATTTAATTATATAAATATTACAAAAATCTCATTATTTATTAGAAATTCAAATTAATATAAGAATTATTATTAGGAATATTTTTTTGTAATAAAAATCGTGACAATTTTCACTTTTTTTAATATAAAATGAAAATATTTATATAAAAACTAGATTTTTAGAAAACTAATCTTTTATTATTATTTAATCTTTTTTTCTTTTTCTAAAATAATGATTAGTTATTAAAATACGAATATTCAAAAAGCCTTAATTTTGATGTATTTTGAAGTGGCCCACTCGATGATATGGTCCACTCGATGATAAACCACGTTACCTATAGTGTTGATATTATAAACATCGTATGCCACCATGAATTCACCTTCATACAGTTTCTTTCTATACTTTTCTACATGCACCGCTTAGTATCACAATCTACATTTAAATGTGCTCTCTGTCTGCGAGCTATAAAGCAGCAAAATGCAGTGTCAAACTTGCATAATAATGCTTCTCGACAATTCTCACAAGCGTCGCCACTCCGAGGCGAAGATGCTGGCAAAGTAAGGAAAGATTCGGAGGATCAAGCTTCGATTGAAGCTCAGATATTGAAGCAGGCCTCCAATAATGATTCGGAAAAGAAAGGAGCGGAAAAGGAGCTAGGGGCAATGTCAAGGCGTCTCTTGGAAGCTACTGAAGATGCTCTGTTAGAAGGTGGTCGAGCCGGACGAAAAGCTGTGGAAGAGGCGGGCTTCTCCGAAGAACTGAAGGCAAGATTACTTGAAAGAGTAGAAGCTTCAAAGTTCAAATCGGAGAATGTCTCTGCTTTCACGGAAGCAAGCTTCGCATCAAATATTGGTCGTGGGTCCCGGGATATTGCCACAGGGCAAGCATGGACCGGGCAAGAAGCATCTGAGGATACGGTTCTGCGGATGTTGGATGATGCTAGGAAACCACTGAGTCCTGGTTTACGAGGGCCAGGAAAGATTCCATCACCAATTGTGGATTTGAGATTGACGAAACAGCCTAAACAGAGACCTGGCGAAAGGTTAGCAAATGCGAGGGATAAAACGTCAATCTATACCATTTCTAAGGATAGCCAAATGAGCGAGCGAGAGAGGGAGGAGTTTAGAAAGGAGCTTAAAGAAAGATTCTCGCCTGGTGCAAGACCGATGCCGAATTCAATCAGAGGTTTGGCTGCTTTGGCCAATGAGAGAATTGAAGATGCCATTGCTCGTGGTCAGTTTAAGGTGAGTCTAAGATTCGTGACTACCTTGAGATGTTATAGTACTAATCTCTTATTCGCAGAATATTCCTAGGGGAAAGGCAATAGAGAGAGATGCAAGAGCCGATAATCCATTTATTGATACAACCGAATACATCATGAACAAGATGATACAGCGACAAGATATTGTGCCACCATGGATAGAGAAACAACAAGAGCTCGTCAAAACTGCAAACGTTTTCAGGACCAGATTACGGAATGATTGGAAACGACATGCTGCAAGAACGATTGCGAGTCGAGGTGGTACCTTGCAGGAGCAAATGAGAACTGCAGAGATATATGCACAATCTGAAGCTGTCCATAACCCGAAGAAGCGAGCAGTGGAGCAGATATCTGTTCCTACAAATACTACAGACGATCCAGTTATGGTGAAAATCGTACAAGAAGTTCCGTCTTCGTCTACTGGAGATCCAGTCATTCAAATTCTTGCGGAAACAAAAGAGGATGAGATTGACATTGGAAAAATTAGCCCTCTTGAGATGAACAGGCAGCCGGCTTCTGAACAAACATCTGCAGCACTCCCTCCACCATTTCGAATACCATCCTGGGAGGAATCCGAACAATCATATCTCAAGTTGGCCATTACTGATCTGAATAGTAAAACGAGATCTTACAATCTCATGGCACCAGATCTTGCGAAGAAGCCGTACTTTTCACTAGAACGTGAACTGCAATCATGCTATGCAGATGTTGCACCCCAACTAGCTGCAGCTATCAAGGAAAGAGCGACTAGGCCAGCCAAGGAGCTGGTTGAAAAGATTGGACATCGTCCTGGTGGTATTATGGAACGATTCGGGTCGGACAAAGTTAATGTCTATGATTCTAAGAGACCCTTATATGGTTTCAAGGAATTCTGGAATGATTTGTTTGGAGAGAAACAGCCATAAGTGTAACTTCCATTCATGATTCTGCAACGAGAGCATCTTCCATGTTGGGAGATACAATACCTGGAATTGGAAGGAGTGGTGGATGGGGTCCTTATAAGACGGCTGTTTACATACACCTCATATTACTTCAGAAGCTCTATGCATCATACACACATCACAGCTTCAGACAGTTCCAGACCATGCTACAAATCCAATTACATAAATTTTCTCAAGCTCCGTCAAAACTTCATTTTCGAATGTCGGTATGGAATCAAACAGAAAGGTCTGGGCAGTCACCACACCCGTCATCACAGCGGTCGCCAGCTCTTCGATGGGCGTTAGTTTACTGCTGAATCGCCAACCCCCAAAAGTTTTACAAATATGCCCAGGTCTTTTAGGACGTTGGAAGCGCTGGAACCAACTCCCGAATGCCCCTGTAGTCGTTGGACGTTCACAGACCAGAAAGCCAACAGAACCTCCTGGACAGCCAGCATATTCAGGGATCGCGATGAAACCCAGCCGGCTCTCATGGACCCCTGCGGATGATCAAATCCTGCTTAAATTACGCAAACTTGGAATAAGTTCCCAGACTATACAAGAGGTACACTTTCCGCGGCGGACAGTGAGAGCTTGTTCTTCTCGCTTCCTCTCTCCGACCTTTCGAACGCAATTTCCTGGTACAAATTGGGATAAATGGTCACGGAAGCATGGATCAGTGGTCAGGTAACTGGGAATAGCGCCACATATAACTCCCGACATTCGGCAAATCGCATTATGAAGATGAAATTTCAATTGAGCAGTTTTGGAAGCCTGAGGAATGGCTACTCATCGATGTGTTTTCTGATCCCAAACAGCTTTTTATAGTTAATAAATTCATCTAATTGGCTCCACTATGTCGCCACCCGAGACATAACATTTAAATGCAAAACTTGACCAATGAAATACTAATCCCAGGTAAGAAAGGTACAAGATGCGGGTTGATCCGTGGTCGCCGATTAGAGTTCGAAACTAAACTGCGCTTAACGTATGCACAGATCCTTTGATATGCGTATCATACTATTATTGAGGTGCCGCGTACGTACGTAAGAATGGTAATTGGGACAGCGGGTCTCCAGCGGGTACGTTTACCAGAGTCCAGACGGGTTCCATCGTTGACTCTGAAGTTGTAGCGGGAGCGAAGACTTTCTACGTTGTGTAGAAGGGAAAAAGGGGGTGGGAGAGGTTGCATCTGTTCAATGCAGGGTGAAAGCTAGAAGGAAAAAGAAGAACTGGAAAATGTGAAATCTGATATTTGATAGGTGCTGATAGTTTCTTGACCTCGGACGAGAGAAGGTAGGACGGCTCGGTATAGTATGAAAAAGAAAAAAAGATAAGATAGAGAGGCACAAAGTCCGTTTGTTGGTGAACCGCATAGCCATATGTCATTTGAGAACCTTATTTCTATAAATTAATAAGTTATTCATGCAAGCTAAGGTGCTTGTCTCTTTACTTCTCTTCTTTCTCCGTTCTTCTTTCCCCTTTTCTTAATTCGCTCTGGGTAGAAAATAATACCAGTTGGGTGAGAAACGTAGTACAGAATAGAAAGTCATCGACCTGGAAACGCTTTGTAGGTACCCAAGTATTTATTGCATTCCATCAAACAAATGCAACAACAACACGAAATTACACTAGGTACATTCAAGCTTCCACCATTGTCAATCATTTTGGGGGAGGTTTTAATATACATCAACATTAGCTGGTTTTGCAGTCACAATTTTTTGATCAGAATTCTCAGCTTCACAGTGCCTTGCAGCTGCATATGCATAGATCTTCCTGTACCCAGCAGATATTGATGTGAGGAAGACCCATCGTCCTGGATGGTAACAAACGAGAATACACTCAGTACAACCATAGTACAACCACAGTCCACAAATGATCCAGTATCATATCACACACTCACTTTCTGGGGTCGTCTGAAGTTGAGATTTCATTTTTGACTTATCTACTCGTTCCGTCTTTCTAAATTTACAGCTTTAGTACGGCCTTCCTTACTTTAATATACAACGAATACGGCATTAACCCTTCTGTCCAGCCAATCAGAAACGTTCAATCAGAGACAAAAGTCTATATAACATTCGCTTCTCAAGAAAAACAAAACCAAACCACTGCAGCTGAAAATAGCATCACAACAAAAGTAACCATCTTCCAATCATGGAAGATGGCAGTCAAGGATCTCGAAGAAGTCGCATATCTTCAACTACGACTCGCATGCCACTTTACCATGATTCCGCGACCAATTGTTCAAGCAGCAA